AAGATGTTGATGTTTGTGCTCAGACAGAATGCAAGGAACACAGTTAAACAAAGTCAACAAAGTCAACAAAGTCAACGGGGGCAGTGTGAACTGGCCTCCACGGAACCCTGGTCTTCTGTAAACAACACTTTTTAAAGATGTCTGTAAAAGCAAAACCATTTTTTTCCACAGCTAGTTCATAATTAACAATTAATATAGTTGCATCATAGTGTCATGACAGAGGCCACAAAAAATTTAGCGCCCTCACCCGTCCTTGTAGTTGATAACCATGTCTACCAGTGTGCTCAGTGTTCTGGTGAGTTCAGGTGGATTTGGGGGCAGTTTCTCTGCTGGTGGGCGTCCTCGCTTCCTTTTGACTTTTTCGCCTGTTTCCTGCCCAGACTGCAGTTCTTTCTCACCATGATGATCGCTTTTACGCTTCTTCAGACTGATGTCCTCTTCCATCTCCTCCAGGGAACCGTTCTCTCCTGCCTCAGGCTGCAGGAAGAGGGAGCAATGAGTGGGGACAGCTAACAAACTCTGAGAAACAAGAGTAAGGCGAATGAAACATTGTAGTATAAAAACGTGTACTGTATATATTGTACACACAAAGCCTGTCATGTTCTTCTTTTGTAGTTCAGTGTTACAAGGAAAATAACAACTGGAAAATGGGAGGAAAGGAGAACTGTGACCGATCTTCATTCAAAACTCTTCCATTCCCATTCATTTGAACTCTTCCTCTGATTTTTAGTTGGGATGCTCAGAATCTCAGAAACCACTGTACACACAGCATATGTTTTCAGACCTTCACTTGCCACAAAGACAGAAACCTAAAGCACTTTAGACACCAAGGAGTCTAAATCTGAAAACCTCAAATTAAGGCACTCACAGTCTCAAGCTAATTAGCAGTACTGGCTGGAGTTTAAGCATGCAGATTTACAGCCTATGGTTTTGTATTAAAATGAAAGAGGGTTTATTTATTTATTACAATAGCATCTGAATTTGCATGGACTGGAGAGACCCAACTACTGTGCTGTCTCTGCAAATTTAGGACAGATTATTTTATCTGAAGGCTTTAATATCAGATGATTATCAAGGGAAGGCAGATTTTTTTATAATGCACAATGAATATGAATACATTTACCATATTATACCAAAGCACAAAGCCTAAAAATGCTCATAATGCCATAAATATTAACCTATGTTTTCCTGGTTCATAAAGATATTTGAAATATAAACATAATCTTAGGTGTGTGGTGTTCGACAAGAGCGCCTGCTGCATGCTGAGATATTTTCAACCATTTCATCACTGCGTTTCGAATATCTGCTGCAACCGCTGTATTTTCCACAAAGGCAATTAGAGGCCAGAAACACGAGTATGCATGCAGCAAGAGCAGCAGCAACAGCAACCCAGCGGGAGAGACGGAGGAGGAAATACAGAAGGCATGCTGTCCAATCTGAACAGAATATTGAATCATACAGGCTCATACAGAACACACACCAGCATTCAAATCATATCACAGAGCATGCGCTTGTGAAGATGTATTTCTCAAGGACAGAGATGAAAACATGTTGAAATATTGTATTTTGTACACACTGGTCTGAGGAACAGGAATGCAGAATTATTACTTCAAAACAATAATAATAATAATATTTGCCAAGCCTAAAAAACAGGACTGATGTTGATACAGTAAAAAACAGACCGCATGCCTGCACTTCCGAACCAAAAGACATGGCAGATAATTGAGTTACAGGAGACAACAACACAAGAGAGGTAACAATAGAAATCCTGCTCATCATCGCTCGGCTCAAATGAAGGCTTTGAAAGCCCCGCTACTCTCTCTAAGGGGCTGCAATCGTTCCAGCAGAATACTGGAGGGATAGAGGGTAATCCTCAAAGATGCATAACCCAGCTGAGAGCTGCCTGATTGACTGTGCATGTGTGAGCGGGGAAGGGTGTCAGTGAGTGCATGTGATGCTCCATGCCTGTGCTATCTCCTAACAAGCCTGCCTCTACCCTGACTAATCTGGCAAAGATTCCCTCTCATCTGTTACAACACACCTACACACTCCCTCTCTCCCCCCTGCTCTCACTCACACACACACACACACACACACACACTTAGACGGACACGAATAAACTCACAGACACACTCGCTCTCTTTCCCTGGCGCGCGCGCGCACACACTCATTTTATCCATCTCTTCCTCTCTTCCCATGCGATGTAGCCTGGCTGAATCCTGAGCCTGAGAAGAAAGACATGGAGGAGGATATTTACCTGACTGCAATCTGCAGGCTGGCTATCAGGATCGGCTGCAGCTGTGGGGGAGAGAATTAGCAAGCCAGCATAGCGGCGAGCTGCTAGTCTCTTCATCAGCTGATCACTCAGAAGCAGAGCCCAGAAGGGGGGAGAATAAAAGCGCTATGTTTTCATATACAAATCAATGGGCTGGGGGAAAATAGAAATGCCATACCCATCTCCTGTGTGCTGCTCTCCGAAGTCTTTTTCCTGACTCTGGAAGGCCCCGAGCTTGTCTCCCTCTGCATGTTTTTAATATCGACTGCTGCCAGACGTTTTTTTCCCCTCTTCCTACCCTGCTGTTAAAGTTACCGGTTCATTTTTATTTTTTTTAAAAAAGAAATTCGCATTGCATTTCAGAGGAAACGTGCCATTTTATGTCAACTAACGCAGTGATCTTAGAAACATGAATCCAGGCTGCAGCATTTCAGGACATCCATGGTTCATACAGTGAGAGCACAAACATTGTATGAACCAAGCCTCCACCCACCCACAATATTTGTAATGGCCAGACACCGTCATCAGATCCAATAAAAGCTGAAAGAAAGTTTTGGGGAGATCAGATATCTCCCCAAAATTCTGTGTTAAACCTACTGAAAAACGCACCGGGTGCTTAGCATAACTCTTCTGCTTCATGTTGGTGTAGGCTACATGACAACCAGCAATAGTAAACAGTGTGCGCGGCTTAAAAAGCTGCCAACGTTTTTGGTCGTTCAATAATCCTCCGCGTGCCATGCACGGGTCTCTAGTAGCTACACAAGTTGACCATTCGCAAGTCTTCACAAGTAAAACACAGACTGCTTAACTGCACCAGCCCTGATGCTCACATTACTGGAGACATAGCCTAAATCAGTATAACTGCTCTTGATGAGCATGTTTTTCTTTTGCCAAATGCGTGTAGCTGTAGTTGATTTGTCATAAAGCCCAGTCGCTGTGAACGACCAGATTATTATGTTGTTGGTCAAAACGCACAAGATCGCTTGCGCCAGGCGCGCATTAGGCACACGGTCCTAATTGCCGTTTGTTTCAGGCATGTGGGCATTAGGATACAAACAGGGGACAGACTGACAGGTGAGACAATTGGCTCCTTCCAGTGACAGACTGTATAAGGGGCCAGGCCGACCTGCTGATTCTGGAGTGACAGAATACATCGGAGGGTTTTTGAAGCAGGAGGCAGGCCTCCCCAGAGGGGCTCCAATTACATTTGATTAGTTTACACATGGACTAGTCTAAATGTGTGTGATTTGGTTAAAAGGGGAGTTCAGAGATTCAGTAGTTTTGGGGAATTTTACTGTTTACTGTACTCCAATTTCCCAGAGTCAGAAACTAATGCCATAGGACAGACCAATATGTATTTGGTGTAGTCTGAAGTTATGTCTTCACTATACTTATGTCACTCAATTGTTGAACAAAGATAGCTTGATACATGGGATCAAATAACATAATCATGATCCCATAGGCATCAGGCAGTTTCATTTCAGAATCAGAATCACTTTTATTGGCTAGGTGTGAGTACACATAGGAGGAATTTGACTGACAGACACAAACTGTTCAAACCAGCAACACAGACCATTAGTATCTTACTGCAACTTTAAAAATGTAAATCATTACATTTACCGCCCCCACTTGGTCCCCCCAATGTCTGACTAAAGATCTCTTGCATTTGTATGTGCAGCCCTAGAATTCCAGCAGGGTGATTAATGCCTTTATAGCGACTCACATTACACTTGATTTCTGTGCCAAGACAGCAAGAAAAACATCTCTACAACACTGTGCTGCTGAGCTGTAACAATTGCAGAAATAACAGTGGACTTTTTCTAGTTTGGGCTCATGTTGAAACACATCTGGTTTCTGTGAATCATTTTGTTCACCCCCCCCCCCCAACATGTGCAAAACACTGCTGGAAAACAGCACACAATGTCAGAACTCGCACCACAGGAAATTAAGGATATACACAAGACAACAGGATAGAAATATAAGATCCTGTTGCATGTTCTTCACATAAGGTCAAACACATAATGACATAGCACTATGCAGACAGAGACTTGTGTGGCTGGGACTGGAATTCAGTGGAACCAGAGAGAAATCATGAAGCACATGAGTTGAACATGCAATCCACAGCAGTGCTTTCATGCCACTGTTGAGTAGATCTTCTAGCAGCTGGCCAAAGCCATTTGTCATACGATACTTAACTTCTATTTCTTACTTTCATAGCCTTACTCTAGCTAGAGGTCTCCTAAGTTTCTACATTAAAGCTCCTGAAAACTTTGTTTCAAATCTTAGGTCCTTACAACATTAATATTTGTGACTTGAAATGAAAGTTTGAGGGATTATTATTTATTATGAGTTAACACCAAAATCTAATCTGCTTCATCAGGATTGTGTTGGTGTGGTTTGGTCACATTTGACCGACAATGGCCTGGCAACATGAGCAAACAACCCCTAAACAACTAGTATCACATCACCTTTTTCCAACTGAGTCCTGCTCACTTAAAACCAGTGGGACTGACAAAAACATTAGCACATAAGTATCTCATGTTAAATTACCAAAACTGTTACCAACTTGGCAGAAAATAGTGTCTTCATGTTGGACAAAATGGCTGATGATGCTGCATGAAAAAACAAAACACTACAGTTGAATGAGTTCATTCTGAATCATCATCGCTGATAACACATTGAACAAAGATCAAAGTGTATGCTGTAAAGAATTTTTATATTGATAAGTAAATTGCTGTTTATTTTTTTGTTTTACAGCAGGGTTACACTACACTGGAATTTGTTGGAAGAGAAAATAAATGTGAAACATATTGCAATTTCAGCTCTTTGGTGTGGCATATTCATTCCCTCCAGTCATCATGATACAGAACTTTATTACTAGAAGTTTCTGCTGTTTGTCTACTATGTATAATGATCTAAAGCCCAACTGATATTACATTTAGTCATCCCTTTGTAGTCAAAAATAATGTCAACATCTTTTTTTATTTTTAGTTAATTGTCAGTAGTTTTTTTATTATAGCTGAAAGAAAGTTCTGGGGAAATAATCTTTTTCCTTTCAGCTGCTGGAGGGGTGTGTCAGTGAGCCCCAGCAGGGAAAGTGAGACAAAGTACAAACTTGCACTGTAGCTTACAGTGTATGTTGTTAGCAGTAGTATTACAGATTACGCACTCTGAATGGGCCAAAGTGAAATTTGCATAGAAGTTAAGGCTATATGCTGTTTAGTGTGCTGCAGCTATCTAGCCTGTTATTAGCAGAGCACCTCCATATACATGGACAGAGATAATGGTATTTTGGGGAATTAATACAAAATGAAAATTTCTTCCTTTTGGTTTCAGATATCGACCTGTCCAGGGTGTACCCCGCCTTGCGCCTGATGTCAGCTGGGATTGGCTCCAGCCCCCCCGCGACCCTGTAGGCAGGATAAGCGGTTGACGATGGATAGATGGATGGATGGATGGTTTCAGATATTTTTTCTCAAAGGAGAACATGCTGTAGAAGACAGAAATATTGGACTTTAACATACAGTAACAGATACTGGAATATCATAAGAGGATACTTTGTGTCTTGCATTTACAGCTTAAAAAAAACACATTATGGGACAGAGAAATTAGACCAAACTGTAGTAACTCCAAACATAGTCTTTATACAAAGACAGGATGCACCACCTGGGTTGAAATAATAAGTCATTAGCCAGCTAATTAATCATTAGCAAGCAGATGTCACAAACATGCAACATACTGTATTGTAAACAGCAGTACTGTGCAGACAGAAAAACACTATTTGTACGGGGGGGGGGGGGGGGGGGATTAATCTGCAGGAAATTATGACTGCAAGCCAGATTCATTTGTTTAAAAAAAAAAAAAAAAAATGGAGCCCTCATTTATGTTTTTCTTTTGAAGATGGCTTTTATTAAAACTATTCTAATAAGTACTATGGTGTAGTGAAGTTTACACTCAGAGTATGTCTATGTGAAGTGACTGGATTAGCTAACCCTGGTGAAATAGAGATATCTTTTAGTATTATGTTCCCAAGAACCACTTGCTCAAAACCGCTGACTGTTACCATGGCAACTGCAAATTTTGATGGTGGACCTTGTAAATCATTGTATTTTATTGCTGTTGCTGGAAAATGAATCAGAGTGCTCTCAGTCACACACGCACAAGCTCTCTCAGTAATGGTACACAGTGGCTGGGGGGACACCGTGAGGAATGACAACATAATTTTATACATCTAACCTTTCTTTTTGTGGAAGCTTTCTGTCTTCTATACCCAAGCACCACTTTTCAAACCTTTGCAAGTAGGCAAAATGTAACTCATTTGGGTAGATGCAGACAACAAAAGCGCAGGGACATACAGACAACACACCGTTTTACTTCATGTTTCACTAACGTTAAATATGTTTGATTGAAATTTTGCAAATATTTAAAATATAAACAGTCAAAATTTACATTTCACACTTCAATATTGTTATTTTAAAATTCCTTATAATTTATGCCATATCACACATTCATTCACCATCAGTGTTCTTATGTAAAATTAAACAATGACAGACTCAGTTGCAGGGCTGATGAGGAATTGAATTATTGTGCCACATTTAATGCCAGCGCCCCACAAACTCTCTTCTCTAGCTCGGTCCTATGGTACATTCAATAAATAATATTATTTAAACTGTACCAGGTCACAGGTCATTCTGAATGATTGACATCTTATACAAAGTTGAAATTCTGTTTTAATTTGCAGTGGTAAATGCACAGATGGAGCCAAGCATACTTACATATATACTCAGTAATTTCAGCTGTGATTTGCACTGTCATGTCACATAGCCAACTAACAATCAGCAAGTCATTTATATCGGTCTTCTGAAGAGATGTTTAAAAATTAAATCAGATATATAAATAGCCATATCCTTATAAAATAGTAAATTAAGGCTCAATGAAAACAATAATAGTCAAACAAATGGAGACAGGAGGAAGACAAGTACAGGGAAAAGAGCGATGAGGGAAGCAAGTAGTTTTTGTCTTAGAGGAGAACAGAGAGCTGGATGTCAAGGGATGACTCAAGCTGGTGTCAGCCAGACTGAAAATGGGGGAAATAAGTGTTGATGACCCACTGGTTGAAAATACAGGTTTTCAACTGGTTGAGGTACTTAATAAGAAAAATGTGAGAAAACATTCATCCAAGACACCCACTGAAAACTGCTGAAACCTTTTGAATGTAGAAAGGAGGAAAAAAGGCTCCACAAAGGCTTTTATGCACTTACCAGTACCTTTTTTGTAGGTGGTTTTTTTTTTCATGGCTTCATTTGATTAATAGCCAACTGTAGAGAGGGACATGATGCAGAAAAAAACTTAAGAAAACTATTTTGAGTTTGCGCAATAAAAGAGCTGTTTTATTCACAAGTTGAATGAATTTCATTTTGAGATATTGATATATAATTCATAAAATGTTTATCAGCAAAAAAATGGTAAATGTATTACATAAACTTTTTGTAATACATTTTAACTTTACAGATGAACTATTAAAGACAGTTTCTAATTAAACTGAGATGAAATGAAAACATTGGGATGTCCAGCCTTCATCAGTGTCAGAACTATCCATTATAATGTAGACACCACTTAAAGGAGTAGTTTTGGGAACTAGGCTTATTCGCTTTCTTGCTGAGTCAGAAGAAGACTGATACCACCCTCTCCATATCTAGCTATTAAATATGAAGCTACAGCTAGCAACTGATTAGCTTAGCATAAAAGAATAGGAACAGAGGGAAACAGCTAGCCTGACTGGCTTTTATCTAAGGGGTAAGAACAAATTTGCTTACAAGCACCTCTACAGCTCACTTAACACATTATATATCTTTTGTGTGATCTGTAGCTTCATGTTTAACTAACAGACGTGAGAATAGTATCAACCTTATTATCTAATGCTAAGACAGAAAGCAAAGGACGTGTATAGTATCTCACGAAAGTGAGCAGACCACTCATATTTTGGTAAATATTTGATTATATCTTTTCATGTGAGAACACTGAAGAAATGAAACTTGTAAAGTAGTGAGTGTACATCTTGTATAACAGTGTAAATTTGCTGTCCCCTCAAAATAACATCACACAGCCATTAATGTCTAAACCTCTGACAACAAAAGTGAGTACACCCCTCAGTGAAAATGTCCAAATTGGGCCCAATAAGCCATTTTCCCTCCCTGGTGTCATTTCACTTGTTAGTGTTACAAGGTCTCAGGTGTGAATGGGGAGCAGGTGGGTTAAATTTGTTGTTATTGCTCTCACACTCCCTCATATTGGTCACTGGAAGTTCAACATGGCACCTCATGGCAAAGAACTCTCTGAGGATCTGAAAAAAAGAATGGTTGCTCTACATAAACATGGCCTAGGCTATAAAAAGATTGCCAAGACCCTGAAACTGAGCTGCAGCACGGTGGCCGACCATACAGCGGTTCAACACGACAGGTTCCACTCAGAACAGGCCTCGCCACGGTCGACCAAAGAAATTGAGTGCACGTGCTCAGCGTCATATCCAGAGGTAGTCTTTGGGAAATGGACATATGAGTGCTGCCAGCATTGCTGCAGAGGTTGAAGGGGTGGGGGGTCAGCCTGACAGTGCTCAGACCATACGCCGCACACTGCATCAAATTGGTCTGCATGGCTGTCATCCCAGAAGGAATCTTCTTCTATAGATGATGCACAAGAAAGCCCGCTAACAGTTTGCTGAAGACAAGCAGACTAAGGACATGGATTACTGGAACGATGTCCTGTGGTCCATTGAGACCAAGATAAACTCAGATGGTGTCAATGGTATATATCAATATCACAAAAGCCTTTGTGGAGCCTTTTTTCCTCCTTTCTACATTCAAAAGGTTTCAGCAGTTTTCAGTGGGTGTCTTGGATGAATGTTTTCTCACATTAGTAGTATTAGAAGTACCTCAACCAGTTGAAAACCTGTATTTTCAACCAGTGGGTCATCAACACTTATGGTATGGTTATTTTGAGGGGACAGCAAATTTACACGGTTATACAAGCTGTACATTCACTACTTTACATTGTAGCAAAGTGTCATTTCTTCAGTGTTGTCACATGAAAAGATATAATCATATATTTACAAAAATGTGAGGGGTGTACTCACTTTTGTGAGACACTGTATGTCCCAAAATGTTGAAATATACCTTTATAGTACATGTCATTAACAACACAACCTCCCACGAATCTTAGAAACAGAAGAGCTATAGTGTGTGTAATTGCATTTAGCTTTGGAGTTTGGTAAAATGACTCAATTAAACATGTTTAAAATATATATCATGCTTCATAATTCTTTGAGTAAAGCAGTATAGATCTAGCAGAAGTATCAACTTTTAAATATAAATACATTTGTTTTCATAACAATTAAGATAATTAACTTATTTTTCTTCTACTTGTAGATATTTATGATCTATATTTTATTCATTTACATATTTGCTCTAACATTTTGAAGTTTGATGCTATTGTACTGTGTACTTTATTGTATCTTATTCTCTTTTGCAATTATAAATATTGCAATTATAAATATTTATAAAAAAACAAATTAAAATAGTTAAAGAAACGTTTTAGTGATGGTCTATAATAGATGACAGGAGGATGCAGGATACAACAATAACTATTATCTTGTATGAACAGTGAATAGTAATATACTCTGTCATGCATATATTACCTGCTGAGTTACAATACAATACACACAATATAATACAAATGCTACACTGCAATATATCATTGTCATTGGAGAATAACTCGGTATCCAACTATAAGATTGAAGCTGACACTGTAATATCTCCTCCTTTTGTTATATTTCGTGAAACTGAATCACCTCAGAAGATTCAAGAAGTAAGCATTCAGACTTCAGGGTATCAGCTCATTCAAAAATATTTCTACCACCAGAGGAAGAGAGAGGCTTGCCACAGTGACGAGCAGCTGCCTGTTAAGGACAAATACACACAGGGACAAACACAATAAAAAAGTTTTTTAAACTTTCCATATATATATACTTAGTTTAAGTGTTAGTGTGAAATAGTTGATCCACATACCCCTGTCTGTCCTTTGGAGAAGTTGGCATGTGCGTAAAGGAGCACTGCAATGTCATTATGTCCTGCCTCCAGTGCAATGGACAGGGCTGTACTTTCATCCTGTAAACACACAAACTCATACATTATGAGATGTTTTGCTGTTTATTGTACATTTACAGATGGAAAAAAGCATCCTGTAAATATTAATTATACAAATCTACCCCTTTGTTTCCCTGACATATTTAATTAAACAAATGTTTTAATACAATATGTGAAAAGTTGGAATGTTTCAGCTTCACAGCTTGCAGCCACCAGGCTCACAGAAGCTGCCCAGAGTGGCAGTAATGATTCACATACACTGTCAGTCAGGGTGGCATCACAGTCTGGCTGTGACAGAAGTAGTCTAACAATGTCAGCATGCCGTGCTCGCTTGCACACATCAGTGCCGTGGAGCCCTCGTCATCCTGGAGATTGACCTGCGCCCCCTGTGCCAGGAGGGACTGCACCATGTCCATCCTGCCATGGCTCACAGCCAGCATCAGAGCTGTCTGACCAGCCTGGACAGCAGAAGGCAAGGGTCAAACAAAAGAAAGATGGTTAATGATGCCCAGTCCACACATCTCAAGCATTACAAATACAGATTCACAGCTTGTTTGTGGAATAAGACAATTCACACTTTTTTCACTCTTTCCTCATTACACTCTTACAGCAACATATGGACACAATTTAGTCAAACAGCAGGACATCACACCCATTACCTCAGAACAGACTCACCTGGCTGGCCTTGGCATTGACGTCTCCCTTTGTGAAGAGCTGCTCCACAATTCTCATGTCCTCTGGACTTTCCACAGCTGCGAGTGCAGCCAGCATGATAGATGTGTAACCTGCCTTGTTCTGTTGATTCACGTTACACACATCTGATGAGATGGTGGACAATTGGTCCGGTGAGAAAAAACAAAAGAGAGGAAAGCAGAAAGATGTAAAGAAGAAAGAGGTACATCTTATTTTATTTTTTTTTACTTATTGGCGGTACTTGCAAACTCTTTCCTCATATACTGAGGGTACCAAGTTTCAAATACTTAATAATAAAAAAAGCTTTTTCTACATAAGAATGTCCAATAAAAAGTCCCTTGTCAAAGTTATTTCATGTGCACAGATGTATATGCAGAAACCTGGAAAAGATGTTAGCGCTCTCAAAAACCATGCTTTAATTAAAGCATAACACAAACCCATTATGCTGTGTGTCCGCAAATAACCGTGGCTTCATTGCTGCTGTGCAATTAAAAGCTCAAAACCTTGTATTTTGTGAGTACTAAAATTCTACATAGTTTATATTCTAGCATGACAACAAGAATGAGCATCTAAAACACTCACTGCGCATCTGTGAAGCATCAAACTACCTTGACTGACTATCAATTGGGGACCATTTTTGTTATTTTCTCATTTTCAGATATAGATTACAAGGACAATGTAGTGGATGTAGATTAGCTTGCCTTTTTAGGGTGAGGTCTGAATTTTGAGCAATTTAATAAAAGCTTTAGTTGAACTTTTCCATCAGGAACATTTTAAACATAACCCTCTGTGACACAGAGGATTAGACCTGTTTACTTTTTTGCTGATTATATGCTTCTATTCAACCTGGCCTTAAAACAGACAGAGGTCGGTCAGATCTCCTCTACAGGTTAGTGAAATTACATGCGTTGCTGTAGCATTTCAGAACTTGTGAGAATC